GCACTCGAGAATATTTACTGTACTGCATTATGAAAGTGTTTCATATTTTTGTCCTGGAAAACCAACAATAAAACCCTTAAATCTATTCCGATAGAAGCCTAGTGCAATCCATTGCTAAACTGGTGTAAATGCATACTGTCGGAGCACTCGAGAATATTTACTGTACTGCATTATGAAAGTGTTTCATATTTTTGTCCTGGAAAACCAACAATAAAACCCTTAAATCTATTCCGATAGAAGCCTAGTGCAATCCATTGCTAAACTGGTGTAAATGCATACTGTCGGAGAAACTCTGAGCTTGGTGATAAAGCAGTGTAGTATAAAAAGGAGAAACTGAATCAATCTTTTCTTCTTTTTTTTTTGGCTAAGTATGTAAAAAAGCCACTCTCGTGCTACAGCAAACCTCAATATCAAAATATACATTTACGATATAAACTTATGTAGTCTCATTAAGTGTTGCTTGGACAAATGTTATAAAATATACAGAGCGTCATTGAGCAATTTAAAGTGTCCAATTTTGCTGTAATATTGATAGAATGACCACTGTGCCAATGGTTGTATCAGTTAAAAAGTGTCAAGTGAGCAGAGTAAACGCAAGTCAATGTGAACACGCCATTTCAATTTTCTGATAGAATTGAAAATCAATGCATTGTTAACATTACTCTCATATAACCCATAGTAATTGGTACATTAAGGCGGTGGTTCTCAAACTTTTCAAAGTTCCACCTCAAAAAATACATACTGACCAGCATTAAAATACAGCAGTGTATAAGCACCAGAGTCAGTAGTCTTCGTCAAAGACGTGGCAGACCTTTTATTCCGATAAAATATATTTCATCATATTGTAAGCCACTGTAACACTATGCTGATTTTTAAAAAAATATTGTGCTTGAATAAATGAAAAATAAACTACTCAAGTAGTGACTCAATTAAAAATGTAATTCACAAAAATGCTAAAATAAAAATGTTGCCTAAATGAATGTTTGGAAAAAAAAAAACGTGCTTGAAGATTTAATACAAATGTATAGTACCGGTACCTGAAAGTTAAATCATATTTAACAACTGTACTGGACTGGATGAAAAAAAAGAGAGAACTGAAGCCATTTTAACATGCAGTTTGAACACCAACTGCAGCGCGTTTTTTATTTTTTATTTTTATATATATTTAACCCTGAGAACCATTTTCTTCTTTGGAAAATGATGAATTATACATTAAATGACTATATGCTATATGTTCACTGAACACCAAAATATATGTTTTTTCAAATATTTAATACTTTAATCCCAAT